AGCTAAACCAAAAAACTGTGCAGACAGAGTGGTTCCTCGCTGTCCATGTATGGTGTTGGTGTTTCAGCTCAACCAGCCTCATTCCTTGAATGTTTTATGGGTCACAGAGTTTTGGAGATTGAGGGGCCTCTTCAGGTTACTTCCTTGAAGGTGGCCCCTTTTCTTCCCTTTCCCCTGTGACCCTATACCGTTAAGTCCTGATCTGGGGCCTCTTTGAAGAGCTGTTGGGTAGGATAAGCCTCACAGAAATAGCCCAGAAGATGGTGATTGAAGTGCCCTGCCCCGCGTCATCCTTCATCCTTGTTTCCATGTGCTTTTGGTGGTTGTGATCTGTGGATTAATGTGTAATACTTAGAGACTTGAAGTAACCTTTACAGGCAACAAACCTACCTGCAGTCCTGGTGTTGCAAAGCCCTCTGGTAACTCAGGTCTGCTACTCTGCCCTGCCTTGGCTCCAGGACCTAGACAACCTAGAAACTGAACTAACACTTCATAGGAGTCCACAGTGTTAGACAAGCCCTCTTCAATTGAGCTATAGCCCAGACAGGAGAAGCTCTGTTAATGACGGAGAAACCCTCATGGCCTAATTAGCTCTTATAGGTCCCAACCTCTTAACACGATGACCTTGGATTTGGTTTGGTTTGGGTTTTTTTTTTTTTCTTTTTTTTTCTTTTTTTTTTTTTGGTTACAGGGTTTCCCTGTAGCTTTGGAGCTTGTCCTGGGACTAGTTCTTGTAGACCAGGCTGGCCTCGAACTGCCTGTCTCTGTCTCCTGAGTGCTGGGATTAAAGGCGTGCACCGCCACCGCCCGGCAAAGATTTATTTATTTATCAATGCAGTATCTTGCCTGTAGGCCAGGAGGGCACCAGATTTTGTTATAGGTGCTACGTGGTTGCTGGGAATTGAACTCAGGACCTCTGGAAGAGCAGTCAGTGAGCCATCTCTCCAACTTTTTTTTTTTTTTTTTTTTTTTTTTTTTGGAGACAGGGTTTTTCTGTAGCTTTGGAGCCTGTCCTGGAACTAGCTCTTGTAGTTCACAGAGATTCTCCTGTCTCTGCCTCCCAAGTGCTGCCACCGCCCGGCACCTGCAGCTTCTCTTAAGTGAGATTTGGTTGGTCTGACTAAGGAGAGTTTTTCTCTTAGGACTGGGTTAGGATTACTTTCTTACATCTCACTGACTTTCTAGTGTTCTGTTGGCTAGATCAGCACCTGAGGGAGGAAACGGGGACTAGCAGCTGTGCTTTCTACTGCTTTTTCTAATGACCTCATCAGCACAACTGAGCAATGTATCTCCTACTTCTGTCTGTAGATGTCTCAGTTCATTGTCCAGTGCCTGAATCCTTACCGCAAACCTGACTGCAAGGTGGGCAGAATCACCACAACTGAAGATTTCAAACACCTCGCTCGAAAGGTACTGCCCTGCTTCTGGTCTGTCTTTTGTTGTTCTTATCAAGTCATATATGTTCTAAGATACTCTTCCTTCATCAAAAAGGGTGCTTTTATGTGCCAGATGCTAAGGCTTGGGGCCCAGGAATGTGAGGCAAGGTTCAGAGGTGGGAAAGTAGACCTCTAACAGACTGAATGCTGGGTTTCTCCCCTCTGTCCCTGTACCAGCTTGCCCCAGCCACCCTTTGATTTCATTTGAAGCCTGTCCTCCTCCCTGTGAAATCATTTTCCATTCTGATGGTGTCTGTGGTTTCTTCCTGTGCCTTGGACAGCTGACTCACGGAGTCATGAATAAGGAGCTGAAGTACTGTAAGAACCCTGAGGACCTGGAGTGCAATGAGAATGTGAAACACAAAACCAAGGAGTACATTAAGAAGTACATGCAGAAGTTTGGGGCTGTTTACAAACCTAAAGAGGACACTGAATTAGAGTGACTTGCAGGGCCAGAGTGAGACACGTGATTAGAAGGATGAGTCCTGTGGCTTCTGCCCCACCCACGGCCAGGCCTGCACTACTGGTGTGATGACCCATCATCCTGAGCAGTTCAGACTTTGCAGGTGTCGACTGTAAGCTACAAAAATGAGCTACAAATGATCCCTCTTGTGAGCTGTTGGGATGTAACAGCTACAGGCCGTTGGAGGCAGTAGCCTAGGGAAGACCTTGGTCACACCCGAACCCATTCTCAAATCTGGGTCTCCCCCTTGGCGGTGCTGTCAGCGCACAGACCCATGCGCACCCTCCCCCAAGACCCTTTACCCTGATGATCTGTATTATATTTTAATGTATATGTGAATATATTGAAAATAATTTGTTTTGTTTTTCCTGGTTTTTGTTCAGTTTTTGTTTGCCATTAGCTTCTATGTGCTAGAATCATGAGAAGACTTTGTAAGGACAGTATAAATTTTCCTGCAAGGTTTAATTTGTTATCATGTAAATATTCCAAAGCAGGCTGCCTTGTGGTTTTGGCCAGCCCTGTGCTATGTTGATAAGATTGATTTACTGCTTAAGATCACTTTACTTTATCCAATTTCTACTGAACTTTTTATGTAAAAAATAAAATCAATTAAAGAACTTGCAATGCGTGTTCCCTAAAACTTAATTAAGTTTGTTTATTTTGATATTACTGGAGAGAAAAAGGATGTCACGGCCACTGGTGTGTGGAGTCCAAGATGAATCATTGCTAACGCATTTTATTACAAGTTTTGTGCCTATGGGTCCTACTGTGTGTCAGGCAGACATTTGCATGAGGCTGATAATTTTAGCTTTCAGATCTTGAGGCTGAGCTCAGTTGAGGCAATTTACAGTCATTCCAGAGCAGAGGACGCATGACCTAAGACCTCATTGCCATTGGGTTTTATTTTGGTTAGTGGGTTAATCAAGAAAAAAGCCAAGTGTCTTTTCATTGGTACCTCCTGGCCAGAGAGTATTACTGGACCTCTTTGCCTTCAGACTTCATTTCTCCCAGCCCACAGCTTGGGAGAAATGTTTGGGTCCTGGCTTTCTACTTTGTTACCTGACGCTGTGTCTGGACACTGAGGGAAGGCATCAGCGGGCAGCAGTAGAAGGTTCTGGGTGTTGGCGTATGATGAGAGTGAGATGTATTCTAGATGCAGCTCAGCAGTGGTCTGTCCTTGGTGAGTTTTCTGGGCAGGGAGGAAGTTTGTATTAGATTGGGGCCTATCTGTGATTCTGCACTCTTTTGAAGGAAGAGGAAAACAAGGCTAGGCTGAGGCCTGCCGGGAATTAGATCATCTCCTGCCTGTGCTAAGCATTTCAGAAATTAGGGAATATTCATCTAACCCATATAACTCTTACAGAATGGCACTGTTGATGAGACTGAAGCGAAGCACGCATCACTAACTTATTTACAGTTCTGAAGTAGAGGGTAGACATCCTTACTGTATGGTCCTATGTGCATCACTAACTTATTTACAGTCCTGGAGTAGAGGACAGACATCCTTACTATATGGTCCTACATACTATATAGCAAGTCTTCCCTCACTACCTCTGGGGAATTGACTGAACACAAGGATACTCAAGGACCTTAAATAAAATGGCATAGTTCTTACCTATAGCCCATTGGTGCCCATCTCGGGTAACTATGGATTGCTTCCATACCTAATACTATGCCACTACTACACAAAGCTACTTGGTCTCCAGTCCATGAATGTGAACCCTGGATATCAAGGGCTAATGATCTAGTCTTTCCCCACAAAACTGTAGCCTTCATAACTTTAAAGCACATTAGGTGGAGCCTACCTAATTCACTCAACCCTCAACATTTCCTAGCGTGTCTGCTTGCTACCATGAAGCGTTCACATTTTTCAAGGAATTTGAGATAGCCTTCTATCACAGTGGTGGCTAGCTATAAAGTTTTAGAAATTTGTAAAATATTTTTTAACCCCAACAGTCTTCATCTTCCTCCATTACTCCCTCATGTTCAAATGACCTAGGTTGGGCTAAAGTGTGCCAGTCTGTTCATGCAGAGCTCTTGGTGGCTCGGCTAGGTGGAGTGTAATGGTCCCTGAATGCTAGTCTGAACTTTTCTGACTTTTCTCTTCATTCTTGGGGATTGATTAGCTTTAGGGTCTTCTTAGGATGAAGGTAACACCCCACCCTTTTTTTTTTTTTTTTTTTTTTTTTTATCTCAGCCTCCTGAGCACAGGGATTCAGATGAGCGCTACCATGCCTGGCTGACATTTACTGTAACAAGGACAGGCTGTTAAGCAGCTCTGGTAACTTTCTGAGGAACAACAGTAGAAACAGCTTCATCTCCACAAAGTAGCCAATGCCAGGAGCATCCGCACAGTGAGAGAGTCGGGTCAGCTTTGGGCTCCACTTCACTCTGACTGGACCCCAGGTCCTCTCAGTGAGTCTAGATGAACCTGGAGCCATCTACTCATGTGCAGAGCGGCTCTTCGGAAGCTGCCTGTTGCCACTTCGGGATGGGCGTGTGCATGGAAGGACAGGTGGTTTGGCTCAGCTGCCCTGTCCGGAACAGCCTGCCTGCCTGCCTGCCTACTGTGTTCAGCCACACTAGCAGGTGGGGAATCCGGTTTGGAATTCCTTTGCCTGGGTGGTAGTCTGGCTTTTGCTTTTTGTAGCTCCAGAGATTGAACCTGGGGCCTCGTGTGTGCCAGACAAGAGCTCTCCCACCAAGCTGAGCACTATCAGCCCAGAGTCCCAGTGTTAAAAGTGTTTTCTCAACACCTAGCTCACAACAACTATTTTGCCTCTTGCCTGTCTCAGCACAGGTCACGCAAAGGGTCCTGGGATGCTCCATGGGAATCTTAGGAATAGGGGACTTACTAAACATGGTTCCAGCTAAGCAAAGAGAGTTCAGGAGGAAACATGGCTTCCTAATATGATCCAAACACTGAAGGGCAAGACAGTGGAGTTTGCCTTCATAGCCCATGAACAGAAGTGCCTGCCATCCCAGCTGCTGCTTGGAGAGGGGTCCTCCATAACCTATGGATCTCCCCAAGTCCTTTTCTGGGCCTCTATTTCACAGCTACTCAACTGTCTTATAGGCTCAAGGAACCAAACAGACGAGAATACAAGTCTAAGTTGCCTTTAATATGTGATTTAAAAAAAATAGAAAAAATAGCTGGAGCTACATAAAGGGAGGCAGAATGGGGGAATCTGTGGGTAGAGCCATGCCCTACTCTTACCCATCCCCCCATATTCTGTTTCCTGTCTTGGAGAGGAGGGTGAAGGGATATGGAGTGGCTGGATCTTCTGTGTTCTGCAGAACTTCTAAAGCCAGAAGTACTAGGAAGTCCATGAAGGGAACCTGAGGCAGTGAGAATGGTAAGTAGTGCCAGTGCAGGCAGCCCTGGGGAGTGTCACTCAAACCACAGAGCAGCCTTCAGCTGGTGAGCCCAAAATCTGGACCACATCTTCCCGGCCTATGGTAACCAGGGCATCCTCTAGCACTCTGAGGGTAGCTCTGCTACCTTCTTGGGCAGCCCAGTCCCTTAGCAGGGTATAGGCTGGTGACTGGCCACAGGCCATGGCTTCTACAGCCTCAGCTTGGTAGCCTAGGCGGCCTGCCAGCCCCTGCCAGCCTTTGGAAGGTTCACCCAACATCAAGAGTCGCTCGACCTCCTGCTGCTGCTGCTGCGGAATATGCAGGTAAAGTCGGCAACCAAGGTCAGGATGTGATCCTGGGGTGGGAGACAGAAGGTTCGTTGGTGGTGGGTTAGTTAAACACAAAGCATTAGTTAAACACAAAGGACTACTGACTGAGAAACGGTGCTCACCTTGGCTGGGGATACAGGGCTCCAGACAGTGAGGAGAGTCCACGAAGACACTGCTGTCACCATGTCGCTGGTCCCTGTCAGGGTCCCCTAGCTCTACAGTCCGAGCTTTGGCCAATTGTTGTCTTTGTCTATGTGAGCGCCAACTGTACAGGGCAGAGGGTACTAAGACAAGGAGCTGGCTGGCAGTCCAGGCATGGAGGGATGCCACAGGGTTACTACCCAGACCACCTACCATTTGAAGGCCACATAGGCCAGCAGACCAAGGACCACAGTAGCTAGGAGAGCACAGTAGACAGGAATGATGTTGCTTGAAGCCCCTGGAGGCTCAGGGGGAAATAGGGAGGAGGTATTGGGAGCCAGGGCTCCTTCGACTCCTACCCACACTCTTTCCCTGTCCCCATCCTGCCCCTTCAGGGCTGTATCTGCAAAGAAAAAGACAAAGCAGTCAAGGCAGGGAGCCACCGCAGCCTCACCTAGACCATTTTGATAGAACATTCCAGAACCAATAAAGCTCACCATGTAGTCAAGGACTCAACATGGCATCCAGAGTTGGCTGGTCCTGAACTGGCAAGAATGGCTCAGCAGATAGACACATGCCACCAAGCAAAATAGCCTGAGTCGATCCCCCAGGATTCACAAGTCCCCTGACCCCCACATGTTTGCTAAGTGGCTAGAGTTTTGTTCTCAGCATATTTGATGGCTCACAACTACCTGTAATTCGAGCTCCAGGGGAATTTGATGCCTTATGGCCTCTCTGGGCATATAGGAACACATCAATAATTTAATTTTTTGTTGTTATTGTTTTTTTGAGACAATGTTTCTCTGTAACTTTGGAGACTGTCCTGGAACCGCTTTGTAGACCAGGTTGGCCTTGTACTCAGAGATCCACCTTTCTCTGCCTCCCAAGTGCTGGAATTAAAGGTGTGCACCACCACTGCCCGGCAATAATCTTAATTTTTTAAAATTGGCTGGTCCTTTGCTTGCCACTATGGATGATGCAGATGTGCCTTGCCATCTCCCGGAGGCATCCAGACTTCTGTTCCTGCTATTATGCCTTCTCCCAAAAGCACGACAAGAATCTACTCTGGAAGCCTTCCGTCAACCTCTCCATTCTCTGGTTACACCACCTGTTTACATGGCTCCCAGAGTGACTCTGAGACCACACTGGTGTGTGTTGTTTTCCCAAAACCATAAAAATGAAACTTAATTGGAAGTAAATACTGGTGCTCTTGTCGGCCTCTGTTTAGTGACCAGTCCTTGTACCCAGTGAAGACGGGGCTCAAGAGATGGGGACCATGGACTTGCACATATCCTACTCTGCCTCCCAGCCCGCCTGCTCGCTCATACCTGCATAGAGTCTGCTCATACCTGCATAGTGCACACCTTTGTTGTGGCTGACGTTGTAAAGCATGGCTCTCCCAGGCACGGCTGGCTATGCTGCCGCTTGGTGAAGGCAAGTCACACATACACAGCACTGAGCTGACGGAGTGAAAGACAGCTTTTCTGAGACAAGCAGGAATTCTGCACGGGGATAGGATATCCTAAGATCTGCGGCCAGAAGTCTCTGGGGCGGCCTGTCCCCATTACTAGCTTACACCATCCTGATTCACACCAGGGCTGGAACAGTTCCCCTGTGTCTAGCAGGTGGAGGTGACTGAGCTGGCCCCAATAGCGCTCAGGATAGAAATCACCCTATCTCAAAGACCTGGGCTGATCCCAGGGCTGTTAAGAGTAAAGCTGCATGCCCTGTGCCCCTAGCTCAGGCTGAAGCATCCCTAGAGACCAGTGAAAAGCTCACTCATACACTTCTGCAAAAACCAACATCCCAAGGTCCCAAGACGGGAGGACTCCTGACCAGGCTCCCACTCTGCTCCAGGGCCAATGGCCAGCCCTTTCCTGGCCAGGCGCTAAGTGAAAGGCTACCTTAATGGGCTCAGCAAGGTCACAGGGCAGGCTGATCCAGGGGACCTAAGGCTAGTCTTTTTCTTACTTGGGAATTCAGAGAAGGCCTGAATGGAAGACGGGCCACTCAGTCCAAGGGCCCATCTGGACCCTACAGTACTAAATCTACCGAGACCCACTTCCTGCAGGCTGAGGCTCCAGCTTTGGAAGGAGGAGAGATTTCTCCTGAAGACGAAGAGACTCAGAAAGGCCCCCCAGGTCTCCAACAGTAACTGCTGCATAACCAATGAGTCTACCCCATGGCGTGCTAGCAATCCACTGCGGTAGCCAGGTGAGCCTCGGAGGTGGGTGGTCTTTTACAGACTCTGTACCTTTGTGCCATTAACCACACTGGGAGTGGGGGGCTTCCAGTGTCCTAGTTGGTGGGTGGGCCCGTAAACCAGTAGCAGCGGACAGGCCTTGGAATCTACCCCACCCATCCTGAGCTTCTGGAACTTCTCCTGGCCTCCCCACCCATCTCCAAACCCAAAATGCGAAGAAACAATTCAACAGCCCCCGCAGGCCTATACACACCCCAACACAGACGCTGGTACCCGTAGGTTCAGGGCTCTCGAGGTGGGAGATAGTAAATTCTGACCCCCTTCCACCTAGCAAGAAGTCGGCTCGTCACTCCCACCCCTCCTGACCTTCGGCGGCCACCCCTCCGAGGGTGCCAGGATCCACTCAGCCAGGAAGACGGCGGGAATCCCTGGAGAGGGCAGGTTCCGGTTTGCCCAAGAAAGAGTGAGCCAAGGCTAGGGCGGGCCAATGGGGGGGGGGGTTGGAGAGGGGAGCAGGACAATGAAGAGGCGGGACTGAGCTCGAGGGCGCGGTCTCGCCCCCGCCCCACGCTGGAGCACAGAAGCCGACGCCCGCCTGGTTGCTGCGAATGGCATGCAAAAGCCACGCGATGGACCACGAGAGTCGAGATCCAGGAGCCAGGAAACGGCTGGCAAGGACAGAGGTGGCTTGGCTGGCTACACGGAGGCCAGCCTGCCCAGGAAGAATGGCATGCCAGGCCGGACCGGGTGACGGGGGACTAAGATTGGTGGCCACCGAAGGCCGAGGAGGCGAGCACATGTATACTCAAGAAACCAAGCGGCTACAAAACTAGGCCAAGTTTATTGCTGAGGTTGGGCAGAGAGGGGCACCTTTAGGGATTAAGGCCACTGGCGGTCTTTGTGCTTCACTGGAACGTGGGGTTTGAAAGTAGTAACCCCACCCCCACCCCACCCCAGATTGTGCAAAATATGCAGCTGCGGCCTGAGGCCGGCGCTAGGTCTCCCCTCAGCCGGCGAGGGGCGGGACTTCCTGGTGATGCCATCTACCAATCCCTGAGCTGGAGGGTGGGCCCCGCCCACCCCCTGGGGCAGCAGTCTCGTGGGCAGGGCATCGTGCTCGTTCAGCGAGTCTCGCCAGGCTTGTACTCGGTCTCCCCAGAGGACACCTGGGAGATGCGCCGCGAGGAGCGCCACAGCTTCCGCGCAAACTGGCTGCTGCGCACCTGGCGAAAGTAGGATGGGATGCAGTGAGCCTGGGCGGCTGCTCCCTACCCGATTTGATTCGATGCCCGGCCCGTCTGCTCTTGTCCTCACCTCAGAAGGCTGCCCGGCACCCACAACGATCAGTTTGCCATCCTCCAGGCCCACCAACACGTGGCTAAGCTCCTTGGTCACGGACACACTGCGCACTGGCACTTTCATGGGCAGGGGAGACACAGCAGGCTGCAGTCTAGCACAGGGAAGTGGACATCCGTTAAGTCACAACTGCAAGGCCTTAGCACAGATGTCTCCATTATCCCGTGTATCTCCGTTGTCCTCATTTTAAGGCTGGCTAAACTGAATCCCTGATTCATAAGACTCCCACAGCTGCATGGCCGAGGGAGGTTCAGGGCAAGAATCCCCATGGGTAACACACCTAGAAGAACGTGCTGCAGGATAGAGTATATTCCCTATTACCCTGTGCCAACAACCACCACCTAGAGGGGCCATGAACTAAAAGTGGGGCTCACTTGTTCAGATGGAAGATGTGCAGAGAGCACTGAATGGTGCCCAGCAGAACAAAGTCTCCTGCCACTGTCAGGGCCGTAGGCTGCTCTGGCAGGGGCAATGAAGCCCGCAACCTCCCATTCACTGAGTACAGGTGCAAGGAGTAGGTGACCTGGAAGACAGGAAAACATCAACAACTGCCCCACCATTCCAGTTGCCCCGACGTCTTTGTTGGGTACCCTGTCCCCATACCTGGGCCCCGGGACGTTCACAAGCAGAACTCTGTACAACAATCTGGCCTTCAGATCCTAGTGCCAGATGTGATATAGGTCCAGGCAGTGTGGCACCTGGAGGCCTTAATGCTGCCACAAACTGACCTCGGCGTACAGTGTGGATGATCACAGTTCCATCCTAGAGAAGGCAGATTAGGATGCTGAGCTGAGAACTGCAGGCTCTAGGGCCAGCGCCTCAGCAAACAGCCTCCCCAGGGCTCCTGTCCGCTCACCTCGGATCCAGACACAGCCATGTCAAGTTCAGTGCTGATGGCCACACAGCTCACTGCAGCCTCATGACCATATAAAACCTGCACAGGCTTTGGTGCCAGCCCTACCGACAAACCACCCTGTGGGAAGCCAGGGCTAACTTAAGATTCAGGCAAGTAAGACTTTATTCAAGCTAGGGGGCTGGGGGGTGGCAGAGCCCCAGATTTGCTCACATCAGTAAGGGTAAAGGAGGGACGGGAGCAGCTCTGAAGGCTCCCTGAGGGGCAGATGGACTTCCGGGCTACCGTGACCTCACAGGTCTGCCAACCGTACACACCTGCTGCAGAAGACGCCACACCATGCACGTGGTGTCCCGGGAGCCTGAGATGAGGTAGATACCACAGGTGTCCAGTGCAAGGCAGGTCACTACATCTGCATAGGAAGGAGAGGACGTAACAGGGTTACTGTACCTCCCAGGCCTGGTTCAGGACTGTGTGTCCATCATTCTCCCTGGCACAAGGGCAGCACATACCAAGGTGTCGGCTTAGCTGGTTCAACAGTCTGCCACGGGGTAGTCCAGTTACACGTAGGCTGCCATCCCAGTGACCACCACTGAAGAGCAGCTTTCCGTCGGGGGCCACTGCCAGTGCTTGCCCACTAATGCCGCTGCCTGGCACCCATGGCCCACTCAGTAGTTTTTGCATCCTAAGCCAGGGGGAATATGGTAGGTGAGGCTGGGCCACAGGGCAGAGGGCTAGGCTAACAGGAAACTTGGCCAGATCTCTCCCCTGCAGTTGGCCTGCATTCTGTTTAGTAGGAAGGTGGCTCAAGGCAGAGGGCATCTATGGCCCACCCCTACCCACAGCTCTGTCTTACTTGGGGTTCCCCATGCTGGGATCTTTGCTGAAGGTGAAGTAGTTATTGATGTTTCGGTCGTAGGGCAACCAGCTGTGAGTGCCCAGCAGCCCATTGGCACTCACAGTCACCTGTCGGTAAGAGTGCGCTAAGGTGGCTTAGGGGCAAAGGGCAGGAGGGACGAGCTAAAGGGAACGCGGCCCAGCGCACTTACCAATAGGTCTGAGGAGCCCTGGGTGATGAAGGAGTGGGACTGCCGGTGGGGTACGAGAGCTAACACTACAGGTACCCCTTCACTGACAACCTGCGGAGAGATGCAGAAGGCCCAGCTAGACAGTCTTCCCAATGGACCCCTCTTTTCCTTGCCCCCGACTCCCAGGGGCACAGAGTAGGTGTCAGATGGAGAGGGTGACACATGACGGCAGTGGGCATGTAAGAGGGCATCACAGAAGGAGGCAGAAGACCCCAGGATGAAGCTTGATCTCAGCCCCATCCTTTCATCCCACCACTTCGGAGGGAAAGGGGAGCCGATGTGAAGATGCAGGAAAGGGGTCCATCCTCACCCACTCAAGGTCTCGGTGATTGTCAGGAAGTCACAACTTGTGCTGGTCCCCCCTCAGCAAAGCCTCTCTTTCTCCTACCCTCATGTCTACAAGGTGCCTTTAAACCAGTCCCTTCATTCCGCATGCCCATCTGGCCCCAGAAGGTAGGGACAGCGCAGTTAAATCCATTTCCCTGAAAAAGCAAAGTTCCCGCCCTATTTTCACCTCAGCAAAAAAGGCCTTGAGCTGGTACAGGTTCTGGAAGACGCTAGGTGAGTTAGTGTCCGGGCGAGCGAGGCGACTGGCCGCTTCCTCAGCGGAGAGCCGTGGTGGGTGTGGCTCCTGTAGATGAGACGGTCAGCACCGTGACATGAGTGTTCTTTCGTTTTGTTTTACTTTTGGTTCCTTTGAGACGGATTTCTCCGTGTGACCAGAGTAAACTGGCTGTCCTGAAACTCTCTTTGTAGACCAGATTGGCCTCGATCTCACAGAGATCCGCCTGCCTCTGCCTCCCAAGTGCTTGGATTAAAGGTGGGTGCCAGCACCAAGTGTTCTGGACGGCTGTATTCCAAGCAGCTCCTACCTTTAGCAGCTGGCAGGGAGTCTGCCCAAAGTTGCTGATGATGCCTTCCAGAGCCTTCCGTTCCCGTTCGTCTGTCACATGGTCCAGGTCTACAGCCCCTGAGAGGGCGGCAAAGCAGTCAGAACTCCTTCAACGTTCTCTGCATTGCAACTTCGTCTGCCCCCTGGCCCAGCTTACATGGGGCACACTGCCTACCTTCATAGGTACAGTAATAGAAGACATTGAGGGCTTCCTCAGCGGCTGGGCCCCGCTGCTTATAGCCAAAGATGAGGTCGATCCACTCGTGCAGGTGGGTGGACACATACTCCGACTCCTGAGGGTAGGAAGCAGCAGTCAAACCTGGGACCGTGAACCCTACCACAACTCTCAACTCTGGCTGGCTGGCCGTGTGTGGTCACCTCCTCACCAGAGCCCGGCGATGCTGTTGGATGAAATCCTCTGGACTGCTGGCCCACGGGGGCAGCACCACATCATCCACTTTCTCATTGGTCAACTGGAGGCAGCCCAGATCAAAACCTGGCAGAGGAGAAGATTAGCAGTGTCCCATGTATCCCTGGCCACCCCTGTCTGGGCACTCCCACAGCCGGTGCCTTGCATGCTACCATTCTGGTTTTCCAAGAAGTCGGGAAAGTAGAAGAACTCTGGGATGAGCTCCTTCACATCTGCGGGGCTCTCCAGGCGTGCCTGCCATGCTGCTGCCACTGAGTGGAACTGCCGGTCGGAACAGTCGAACCTGGTGGAGGGACACAGCCAAGGTCAAACGATGGACGCAGAGGGATGTGGAAAACTGAGGCAACACAAGAGGCTGCCGGGAAGACAGCCTCCCCTCCTCCCCGACCTCTCATCACCCCTGGGCGCACCGGCCACTCTGGAGCTGGACGTGCAGGGAGGTGAAGGGCTCCACGCGGATGAGGTAGTGCATCACACCTGCTGCATTGGAATAGTGGGTACCGTAGTGGAACTTGTCAATTGTACCTGCTGGGTCCTCAAAGCTCTCATATCTGAAGCCACAGACAACAGAAGTCAGCAGAAGCCATTCACCCACCCATCCCCAGCCCACTGAGCCCTGCCCTGTCCA